AAGGGTATGCATTAGACAAACAGTGAGAACGACATGAATGAGGGAGACACTAAAAGCGACTACAGGCAGAGCCATTCTGAGAGGAACCCCCTGCCTGGATTGGAATGTCAAGCAGAAGCCGATCAAGAGAGCACCTGCAGCCACAGCAGAATTACCCAGCAGCAACAAGGTATGGATCCAACTCAAGCAAAGCACATCAGCAAAATGACACAGCCAAACTCTACATCACTGCCTAACAAAGCCAAACACCAAAGAAAGAAGGCGGCTTGAAAGCGGTCGTACGCCCAACCGACGAGTTAAGATAGTAGAACCTTTTTTAACTTCTGCACTTTCCCCAGAAGAAGTGACCGAATACAGGACCAACTGACCAAACAAGACCCCCAAAGTAGCAATAACAGGCAAGTGCGGCACGCCACTGGTAGCAAGGAGGAAGAAGAGCCCAAAATGGCCCCCGCCCCCACTGAGCAGCAGAAAGAGCGAATGATAATCACAGAGATGAGAGGATGATACAGATCGAAGCAAGGTCAGGTTGAACGTAATTAACAAAGAAAGAAGAAGAAAGTGAGAGGGACACACAAGGAAGCCTGTTGACACACAGCATCTACTGTTCACTCCGACCCCGCTGGTGGCCCAGCAGCAGAAGCGGAGTCGACCTGAATAGGAATCGCACAAACAAACTCCCCCTGCAGCCACAAAACAATGCCTTCTCCGACAACCACAGGAAAAGCTGACCCCACCTCATCCTCCCGCACGGGTGAGAAGCCAGGTCGAAGAGCCGCTCAGAAGGACCAAGAGGCCAGAGGCAAAGCGCACCTATGAGTGGACCGAGAGTCTGCAAAGCTCCTACGAGGGGAGACCCGTTGACGCAAACACTCAAAAATGACTTATACATCAAACAGAAGACAGACTATAGATCTATATAACCGCCTGAATAGCTGGCCCTGCAGAAACCGCCAAGATAAAAATACCCCGGGCGAAGCTCCAGAAACCAACATGCGACAAAGGAAACCGCAACCACCGATCGCCGACAAGCACAGAATTAGAAAACTTATGCATTCCAAAGACGTAAGCATGCGGTGGATTGCTGGGAAGAACGGGAGCAATGTATGTACCCATGTGCTGATATCGAAAAGTACCTTCAAGGACATAAAACGACGCAACAACCCTACCGTCAGCTAGACCGAAACAGTTATGAGGAAGTCACGCGTAGGGAGCCTGTTGGAACTACAGCAACTTGTCCCAAGAAGAAGTCTTGTAAGACTATCAAGGCAGAAACACTGCGGCCCGGAGAGGATCGAATCACCTATAACCAACCTACGGAACAAAGGGATCGAAGGCAAAAAAATCCTTTCTGCAATATTTATTTGATAAAACGGGCTGGCAAAATTCCTATTGCATGGAGCCGGGGTTCACGCACAATCACTGTTATTTAAAGTAAGATGCAGAACAGAACTTAGCTAACTGGCGGCCAATCGCCCCTGGCGCCCACAAATACAAGATTTACACCGTCTCCGTAGCGAATGCCTCGGCATGTTGGAGCAGAATGAAGTCTCTCTCCAGCGCAGAAGAGATTCCGACCATTCGATGGGGTACTGGAACAAATGGAATGAGATAAGAATAGAGGACATTGACGCGCCAAAGGACCGATCAATCGCTGGTGGAGACGCCTACCGTGACGCCTTTCCTAGGGCACACTCCCAGCGCTGGCTGGAATAGCCCGCCCCAAGGCATATATGCAAGCCGCTCCAAAGGCTTGGGGGGAAGGAATCACTTACTTCCTACCTGTCGGCAGAAGAGTCCCACCTATAAGTTTCTGTTGCCAGGATCAACTCCTCTCCAGCTCGAAACTGCTGCCAAAGGTACGGGACCAAAAGTTGTAGAATTGAAATGTCACGTGGAACAACGGGCAACCAGCAAACCGAGAACATTGGTACGAATTACCACGGGGTGCTGCTACCTGTCACCTTTATGGAACGCCCGACACAACAACATCCGGCTGTCATTTATAAGAAGCAAGCATTGCAGCGGGTGGCAGGTGCTCCGGAGAGAATCAGGCAGTGGTGAGGCAGCAGTCGCCCTGATCTCAT